CCAGACGGGAGGGGCTCAGTAAGATTTGCTGTGTTGGGGCTGATGCTGTGGTAGAGTAGGGTAAACCAATTTGTGTCCTGGCTGCTCCACTTCTGATCCATTTCTCTGCTATGGGCTGGGAAAGTAGTAGAGGATGACCCAAATGCTTGGGACTTTGCACACACATGGGAGACCTGGAAGAAGCTCCTGCCTCCTGGCTTTGGATTGGCTCAGCTCCGGCCATTGCAGCCACTGGGAAGTGAGTGAACCAGCAGATGAAGACCTTTCTCTCTGTCTATAACTCTACTTCTCAAATTAAAAAAAAGAAAAAAAAAAAGATCTGCTGGGTAAATTTGCTGGTAAATCACTATTGGGTGCCCAGGGAAGGTTATTTTTGGCATGTATCACTCCAAGTATTTCATGGTAACTCTGGTACTTTGGCTTTGTGGATAGCCAGGGAATTCTTTCATACAGCTGCTTGTGGGAAGTAAAAGCTTGACTTCATTCCGTGCAGTTGTAGGGAAGGAGCCTACAAGAACCCCATCATCCCCCATAGCCCAGACACTGTCACCCAACTGTAAGGATCTGTAGAGCCTTCTTGAGCTTGTGGGGTAAAGCACGGTGTGGGTGGTGTGAGTAGTGTGTGTCTTTGAGTTGTGTCCACATGTGCACGTGTATACTTGCCTAAGCACATGAGGGAATTCTGAAGAATTCTTCTATGTTTTTATAAATAGCCTTTTTTTTTTTCTTTCTGCCTTTGTGTCTTGTTGGTAGGCCAGGGTGCAGAGGAGCCTCTAGCCTGGGCACATGGCCCAGGCATGCTGGCATTCAGTGGCCTATTGTTCCTGCCCCTGTCCATGTGCATGGACAGAAGACTGGAGCTGGCACAGCTGCTGTCTTGGGGACCATTGTTTGCCTTAGCAGCAGCAGCAGCAGCAAGGCCTGAAGCAGCACATTCTGCCCTGAACAGAGCAACCGTTCTGTCTTGGAGCTGTGGACCTAGCGGTGGGGCGGATAGAGTCTCCCTTATGTCTGTGCAGATGCTCTGAAGATGGTAGTAGCAAGAGAGGCTTCTCATTAGAGGTAGAGTGTGGAGGATGTCATATCACAAAGAAACTATCGTGGCAGATGGTATCTATTGGCAGAGCCACTTCTTTTCTTGGATCAGGATGGGGAATGTTGCTTCTGCACTGTCTCCATCCTCTGGGTTTGTTGGAAGATCTCAAGGTGCATCAAAGAAAGAGAAAAGCACTTCCTCCAAAGCTGCCCTGTGGAATACGTCTAGGAAGTAGAGAAGGGCCCATCAGGCTATAGACTAGTTGAAACGTGGGCTAGTTAGTGAGTCCGTGGGGTAATTCAGTGTTGACTTTGGGTACTGAACCGCTCCTCTCCTGGAAGATGGAAGAGACAGTATTCCAGGTGTGAGATTTGTAGTAATACCTTCAGAGACTCCAAACCAGTGATGACTTCTCTTGTCCTCCTGCCCTACTATCAGAAGGTCAGAGGAACTTTAATTCAGCTTCAGCCTTGCTTGCGCCTACTCGTATGGCCCTTTGGTAAACTACTTAATGAGCCTTCACTTTTCTCATATGTGCAATCAGGATAATTGGAAATACCTTGTAGGCTGGTTGTAAAAATTAAATGAGGTGATGTATATAAAAGCCATAAGACGTGTTCATTAGACACAGGCTCCCTTCCTTCAGGACCCACATGGGGGCCCAGAGAGCGGCATGTGGTTTGTGCTGTGCCTCCACTCAGGAGAGGCACCTGAGAAAGTCTGGGTGGCATTCCAGGACTGATGGATAGGCTTGGGGGCTTTTTGGATTAATTCATGTATCTCAGAGGCCTCCTACAAAATGCTTGTTCCTTAGAGGACAACCCTGGAGTGGCCTACTTTTAGAACTTGTCGTGGGACTTTGTCTGCCCCTCTTGTTATGGTAGGGGGTAGGTATCATCCAGTCAAGCGTGTTCTTTTCTGTATCCTTTGTTAATGAGATTATTGAGGCAAAGAATTAGGACTTTCAGAGGGGTCTCCATATTCCCCTGTAATCTGCTCCTGATTGAGTACCTGAAGATCACTTTGAACGGCCTCTGTGCTCTCAGTCCCTTCCACCTAACAGCCACTGGTCCCAGCTTTTCATTAATGCACAGAAAGGGAAAAGATGCCTCTAGGAATAGTCTCAGCAAGGCCTGTTGCCTTTAAGAGATCCAGAAATGCCTGGTAAGAACCAGATGCCTGACATGACCTCTGCAGATCTTTTCTCCCCAACACCCTTGTAATCAGACTCCAAAAAACACAGAACAAGAGAGCTTTGATGAGTGATGAGGTAGGCGGCTTTTCTGCTCAGCCTTCTGTCTGCTTGAAACAATCTGCGGTGCTCAGTTTCAGTTCAGGTGAGGTCATTGCAGGGCTGGTTGGCATTGGTGGTTGGCAGAGGGGGAGGCATGGGGATGGAGAGGGTGAGAACTGCAATAGCAGATCCCCTAAGATCACTCAGCGAGGACAACATATTGATGCTACACACTGATATCCGTAACAGAAGCAAACAAAAAAAGATGGGAATAGATTATGGACCCCTAAGTACCTCAAGGCAAAACTCAATGCACTATTTTCCCATCTTCTTGTTACTTCACGAAAGGAATGGTTGCAACCTTCAGCATTGTACTCCTGATCCTGAATTTGCCTCTGATTCATCTCTCTGATGAAAACTTTAGTCTCCTCCCCCACCCCGCCTTGCATTACATACAGCTAGAAAGTGGTGTTACACTTATACTGTTTGGGAATCCATCTGGAGCATGGCTAGTGAAAGGGATAATATAGGTACTCTCTGTCCCTGTCACATCTTAATGCACTTCGAGCCAAGCATGCGTGCCAGGGAAGGGGATTCAAAACAAACTGCCCATTCTGACTGAGATGGCGTTTGGGACCTACCTTCATACTGCGGCCCTTTGCTGAGCTGAAAAGCAGTCTGGCACTGGCATGCTGCTTCCTGTGAACACCAAGTCTCTTGTCAATAACAAGTGCAGGGTTGTGCATGAGGCAGATCTGATTGCACCTGGAGCTCTCATTGCTGCAGTTGCAGAGGGGCGGAGGTTGTTAGGGCTGTACAAGCGTTCTGGCCAGCCCAGATACAGCAGAGTCTCTGACGCATCCATGAGGATAAGGTAACGGAGATACTGTGTGAAACAATGTCTTTCCAAGTCAGCTTCTTGAAGATAGATTTACATTCTGTGATACTGGAAACTATGAAATCTGAGTGACAGTGACACTAGCCTAGTGACACCTAGAAATCCTGGGGCTTGTTTATTTTTGGGTTTCTACCATTAGCATTGGGCAGATCTCCCTCTGCCTCCATTTTAATGTCCAGACCTTCACCCTACTTCATGAAGATACTGAAAAACATTTTGAAATTATAAGAGAAAGTATAATAAGTAGGAGCTTAGGCTACAAAATCAGTCTTCTGAGTTTGAGTTCTAGTTCCACCACTTAATAGCTTGACTCCTTCAAGACTCAGAGTTTTGGGGGCCAACATCATGGTGCAGTGGGTTAATAAGCTGCTGCTTGCAACTCCAGCATCTCATTCTTTTTTAAAGATTATTTATGGGGCTGGCGCTGTGGCACAGTGGGTTAACGCCCTGGCCTGAAGCGCCGACATCCCATGTGGGCACCAGTTCGAGACCCGGCTGCTCCACTTCAGATCCAGTTCTCTGCTTTGGCCTTTGGATTGGAGCAGCTCCAGCCACTGCAGCCAACTGAGGAGTAAACCATCGGATGGAAGACCTCTCTCTCTGTCTGCCTCTCTTCTCTCTGTGTAACTCTGACTTGCAAATGAATAAATAAATCTGTTTAAAAAATGAAGATTTATTTATTGGAGAGGCAGAGGTAGAGAGAGAGAGAGAGAGACAAGTTTTATATCTGCCAGTTCACTCCCCAGATGGCTGCAGCGGCAGGAGCTGGGCTGATCTGAAGCCAGGATCCAGGAGCCTCTTCCGGGTCTCCCGCGTGGGTGCAGGGGCCTAAGCACTTAGGCCATCCTCCACTGCTTTCCCAGGCCATAGCAGAGAGCTGATGGGAAGTGGAGCAGTTGGGACTAGAACCAGCACCCGTATGGGATGCTGGCACTGCAGGCGGCTGCTTTACCCACTACATCACAGTGCCAGCCCCTCTAGCATCTCATATTCGAGTGCCAATTCAAGTCCTGGCGGCTCTGTTTCTGATCCTGTTAATGCACGTGGGAAGGCTGTCGAAGATGGCACTCTCACCCATGTGGGAGAACTTGATGGAATTCCTGGCTCTTGGCTTGAGCCTGGCCCAGCCCTGCCTATTGCAGCCATTTGGGGAGTGAACCAGCAGGTGGAAGATCTCTGTCCCTTTCTCTCTTTGACACTCTGCCTTTCAAATGAAAATTTATTTTTTTTTTTTTTAAGAAAAGGGCTTCAATGTTTTCATGTTTAATTAGGGATAAAGTAGTATGTACCTCTTAGGGTGGTGAGGAGAGAAATTTTTTTGGCTTTCTGTTGGAAGAAAGCCCAAATTCTGGCACAGAGCCAGAAACACAGTAAATTGTTCAATAAATGATACTTTTGAGTATTATTAGGTAGAATAAGTAGCTTCTCCTAAGTGATTTGGCAGATACGTGATTTACAATGTTCTTTAATGGTCCGGAAAGCATTGTTGGAGGTTTTTGGAGGTGACTCATGTCCTACAGCCACTAAAGACTATAAGCTTTTCTCTCCTCTCCTCTCCTCTCCTCTCCTCTCCTCTCCTCTCCTCTCCTCTCCTCTCCTCTCCTCTCCTCTCCTCTCCTCTCCTCTCCTCTCCTCTCCTCTCCTCTCTTCCCTCCCTCCCTTCCTCTCTCTCACCCTCCCTCTCTCTCTTTCCTTTTCTCTTCTCTTCTTTTCTTTCTTGTTTTTAGATTCTCCGGGGACCTGAGAATAAGGAAATTGAAGGTAAGTGCATGTTGGCATGTTTGGTGTTTATTTAGGACTGTCCATTGACTGTCTCCTGGTTTTTGTTGCAGAGATCCGTGCTCAGCTCACAGAGCAGATGAAATGCCTGGACCAACAGTGTGAGCTCCGGGTGCAGCTGCTGCAGGACCTCCAGGACTTCTTCCGGAAGAAGGCCGAGATTGAGATGGACTACTCCCGGAACCTGGAGAAGCTGGCTGAGCGCTTTCTGGCTAAGACCCGCAGCACCAAGGACCAGCAGTTCAAGTAGGGGCTCTGTGGTTGTCGCTCTTGGAGACCTTGGGGTCTGGGATGCGTCACTTAGATCCAGTTGAATTCATGAGCCAGTGGCTTCAAATTGATTGAAAGCCTCAAGAACTTCTCCTTTTTCAGATCAGTCTTATGTGCAGCTCAAAGATCAGAATACATGGTGACCCGTGCTAATAGTAACGACAGACAGTTTGATAGTTCTGTGTGTCAGGAATAGTTCTGAGGGCTTTGTGTAGGTGCTAACTTTCTTAAACCCCACAACAGACTCCATGTGTTGATTATTATTATTATTATCCCTAATTTACAGATGAGAAAACTGAGGCTTAAAAGGAACTTAAACCAGAGTCATACACATATGCAAATCCCTGGTGAAGCTAGAATTCAAACCCCAACAATCTGGCTCCAGTTTCTGCACTCTTAACTATTTTATCAAACTGTCTTTAACCAGGAGAAATGAATGGTGTTGTAGTCATATGTCTAAATCCCTTCACAGCTAAGCAGCTGCTAAGATCTGTTCTTTCCGTATTTATCATATTTTATTCAACTGGCCCCTTTGTTGTCATTCCCGTTGTTGTGGCCAGGTTGGGACAAAATTAGTATCTCAGGTTCTTGCCTTTTACTTAGAGAAGAATTCTAAGCCCAGGCACACACAGCATGCAGCATGGTAAGGTTTATTTAGAAAGTGAGAGGAGTACACAGGCCCATGAGGAACTCATTTAGGAAGAGTGGGCCAGGAAAGGTAAAAAGGGGAATTTCATACCCTGCTCTACTTGTCCGGGGTCCACGAGGTAAGGAGAGAGAAAAAAGATCGCGCTCTCCCCTTCTCCAGGGTTCTTATTAGCTTTGAAAAGAGGAGAGGTTACATGGTACTGCCCCGGAGTCCCAGGTAAGGGGAGGTGCATCATTTTTTTTTTTTTTTAAGATTTTGTTTATTTACTTGAAAGAGTTACAGAGAAGCAGAGGCAAAGAGAGAGAGAGATGGAAGTCTTCCATCTGCTGGTTCACTCCCCAAATGGCCAGAGCTGAGCTGATCCAAAGCCAGGAGCTAGGAGCTTCTTCTGGGTCTCCCACATGGGTATAGGGGCCCAAGCACTTGGGCCACCTTCTATTGCTTTCCCAGGCCATAGCAGAGAGCTGGATAGGAGGTGGAGCAGCCGGGACTTGAACTGATGCCCATATGGGATGCCGGCACTGCAGATGGCCGTTTTATCCACTACACCTCAGTGCCGGTCCAGGGAGATACATCCTGGAGAGGGGTCATCTGATTGATGATAGGATTACATGGGGGTGGGGAAGGTGTGGCCTGCAGCTCATGAACTTAATCTGTCTCGATGACTTTTCCCATTTCACCATTGCCCTAGTTTAGATCATCATCTTTTGCCTGAATGATTGCAGTTCTTACTATATCATCTATAGCAGAGGTTTTCAACTCTGGCTTTGTGTTAGAATTCCCTAGAGAACTTTTTTAAAATATTGAAATCTGGGCCACACTCCAGACCAATTAAACGAGAATTTCTGGGAATGAGCCCTGAGTAACAGGACAGTGTAAAATCTTCCCAACTGCTGCTGATGAACAGGAACATTGAGGCCCACAGTCAGTCTATAGCTTCTCCCCATTCCTGTCTGCATGGTCTACTATGTTCAGATTGGAGATCAGGCATCTCTCTATGCAGAACTTTGAGTAGTTCCCATCAGTTAAGTTATTGATACTCCAGGGTGTGTCGTCTCTCAGTTTTAGCATCATCTGCAATGTTATAAATGCACTCTCAGGCCCTATCCCAGACCTACCATAGCCGGATACCCATGTGATTTGTGTACATGTTGAAATTTGAAAAGTGCTGCTATATTCACCAAGATGCACACTTCTTGGCTTAGTCTTCAAGCCCTTCTAGCATACCTGGCCTTGACCAGCTTTCCAATGTTATTTTTTGTCTCTGTTCTACCTCACCTTAGCCAAATAGAACATTCACTCCAGTAGGTTGTGGCCATCATGTTATTTGAATTTCTGTGCCTAATCTTCACATCTCTGCATGTCTAAGCCGTATCTGTGTTGTAGGGCCCATCTCGTATGTTCGCTCTTTCAAGAAGAAAGGCCCATCTCATATACTCTCCCCTCTTGAAGAAAGAATGCCCTTCAGCTTCTGAATTCTTACAACATTTTATTTGGTCTTCTCTTAGGGCATTCAGCATTGTTTGACTTATCTTCCCTTATATTATGTTTGTCTGAGTCATCTTTTAGTGTCCCCCAGTGCCTAGCTTAATATGTGGTATATAGTAGTTACTGATTAAATGTTGTAGATTGGGTAAAGGAATGAGTGAATTTAAGAATTAATACCATGGTCTGGGGAAGGGGCGGCAGGCGCCATGTCCGGCCGGGAAGGTGGCAAGAAGAAGCCCCTGAAACAACCCAAGAAGCAGGCCAAGGAGATGGATGAGGAAGATAAGTATTTCAAGCAAAAACAGAAAGAGGAGCAGAAGAAACTCGAGGAGCTAAAAGCGAAGGCGGCGGGGAAGGGCCCCCTGGCCACAGGTGGAATTAAGAAATCTGGCAAAAAGTAAGCTGTTCCTTGTGCCTGAAGTGATGACGCCTTTGATTGCATTCCTAGCTAAACATCTCGATTCCCGGCCGTAACATCTTATGCCACCCGTAGTTAGAATGAAGTGTTAAGAGTTTAAGTGTTAACTTGGAGCCTGTTGTACATTTACAAATAAAATTTTGTAAAAAGGGGAATAAACCCCACTGTACTGTAGCTCACTGTCTTAGTTGTTTTCACTCAGCCACTCCCAGCTGTGAATTTAAAGTAAACCCAGCTGAGAACCCTTCCAGAGTCTGCTCTTTGCTCTCCAAATTCTGTGTCACCTGGAATTAAACCACGGCATTGGAAAGGCAAAAAAAAAAAAAAAAAAAAAGAATACCAAAAATATCTTATTTTATCCTATTTTGTTTTTTTTTTATTGCTCTAAAAATGGTGTGCAAATTGTCCTTTACAAACCAACTCAGAGCAATGTCTGGAGGTTAGGAATGAGAATGTCATCCTGCTAACACTCAACACAAGCCAGCAGGAAGATTTCCTCCCGAGGTTTTCTCCCTCAGAGTCCCTTATCTTTCCCAAGTTCTATTCTTTTCTGATAAGAGAATCATCTGATAATAAAATGTTATTTTAGTGTGTGATAAATTAAGACTGGAGGGAGGAATCATTTACATTAGAAAATGATTCAGAGTTGGATTTGTTCTGTTAGTAAGCTCCCCTTAAGTTTAAAATAACATTTGAGTTTTAGTACTATATCATATTCTCAGCTTAAGGACATATTTATTACGAATTAAGGTAGAGATATGTTAGTCTCCTAAGTCATCTGAATGGTTCTGATTAAAATCATATGCAAGGAACACTCTTTTCTTCAAGGCTGGAAGAATTTATTTCCCTTCTGGTAAAGCTGGCACCTGCTGTCATTTTCTTTTCAATAACCAGTGAATATTTATTGGACCAACTTTGTGCTCAGTGGAATAAGGTGTTGGAATACACAAGTGAAGTTTATTGTGTGTATCCACAGGGGGTTCATATCTGGTTGGGGAGAAGAGTTTTTGAATACAGGAAACTGTAGAGGATAAAGCAGTAGTAAACTTATTAAGAGATCATTGGTGTTCTCTAGAGCATTGTTCTGATAAGAGATCAGAGATAGGTAAAGGATCAAGAATACTCATGAGCGTTTTCATGAAGTAAGAGGGACTTAGATTAAACTTCAAAGGTAGATTTGTGAAGAAGAGAGAACAGTATGTACAAGTGAGAGGGTGAAGGAATGTTTGGTGGTAAGATGGTATGGGGGCTAGTGTGGGACCCAGCTTCATTAAACAGGTTCTAGGGCAGGAGTTTGGTGCATCAGTTTTGGTACAGCATCCCATAGTGCAGTGCTAGGATACAAGTCTCTGTTCCTTTCCTGACTCCAACTTCCTGCCAAAGTGTACCCTAGGATGCAGCAGATGATGGCTCAGGTAATTGAATCCCTACCACCCACATGAGAGACCTCTCTCTCTCTCTCTCTCTTTCTTTCTCTTTGCCTCTCAAATAAAATAAAAAAGGGGAGAGAGAAGATGCTTTTGCATTCATCCAACTAATACCCATTGTGTATCCCTTGACCTCTTTTCATTGGGTCTTGAATATAGCAGGGAAAAAGCACTGTCTCTTCTTAAAATAGAACAAGGAAGAAAACATTGGGCGAATCACACAATTAGATCTATATATTAAGTTGGAGTCAGTGCTGTGGAGGGAAAGTACACAGTGGTACATGAACCTAGAAGAGGGGGACTTCTCCACTTCTTTTGCTGTCTTATCATGACTGCTTTACTCCAGTAGTGTCCTGTCTGATCTTATCCTGAGTAACAATCTACTTACTGAACAAACCCCTTTTAAATATCTACTGAGTCTGAGTCTTTAAAATGTGCTCTGGGTTGATTCCTATGGGGACTAAGATAAGCTCTGGGATTTCTGGTTAGCAGGGAAAAGAGGCATGAAAATTATATAATGTGAAAAGGGCTTTAATAGAAATGTGAGAACATAGATTTTTTTAAGATTTATTTATTCATTTGAAAGGCAGAGTTACAGAGAGGCAGAGGCAGAGAGAGATCCTTCCACTGGTTCACTCCCTGAGTGGCCACAACAGCTGGAGCTAGGTTGATCTGAAGCTAGGAGCCAGGAGCTTCTTCTGGTTCTCCCATAAGGGTGCAGAGCCCCAAGGACGTTTGCCATCTGCTGCTTTCCCAGACTATAGCAGAGAGCTGGATCAGAAGTGGAGCAGCAGAACTCGAGTTAGCACCCATATGGGATACCAACACTGTAGGCGGCAGCTTTACCTCCACAGCACTGTACCAGTTCCAGTCCTGGCTCCTCCACTTCCAATCCAGCTGCCTGCTAATGTGCTTGGGAAAGCAGTGGAAGATGGCCCACATGCTTGGGCCCCTGCACCCATGTGGGAGACTAAGAAGAGGCTTCTGTCTTCAGCTTGGCCAGCCACGGCTGTTGCGGTCATTTGGAGAGTGAACCAGTGTATGAAAGGTCTCTCTATCTCTTCCTCTCTCTTTGCAATTCTATCTTTCAAATAAATAAATAAAAATTTTTTTAAGTAGTAGAAGTTATGGTCACATAAGTAGAATAAACCCAAATGATGGCTCCTTGACACCTAATAGAGAAATCAGATTTGATGTGGTAGTGTGGTAGTCAGCCCTCTGGGTTCTTGTATGGTAAGAGAGACAGGAAGAAAAGTGTGGTGAAAGAATGAATATTTATGCTAGAGAAGGCTAACCTGGAGAGTTTTAGGGGTTATCACATAATGTCATAGCAAAAAAATAAAAAAAAAAAAATGATTGATGGAGAGGAAGGCATGTATTCAAGAAGTATTTAAGAAACTAGACAGGACAAGATGACTTGACTGAGTAATGAACCATAATAATCAAAAGTCATCCAGTGTCTGTAATCTGTTGACATAGAAGAATTGTGGCTCCTGTAATAGATGTGGGATTGTTGAGGGAAGATCTGTTTTGGATGGTGATCCTACTTTGGGCATGTTGGGTTTACGGCCATGGGACACCTGCAGGCATCCAGGTGGAGCTGTACTGCTGAGGTAGGACGGTTTGACTGGGGATAGCTGGAGGAATCTTCGGTATAAAAGTGATTGTGGGGGCTGGCGCTGTGGCGTAGCCAGGATGCCCTGGCCTGAAGCGCCGGCATTCCATGTAGGCACCAGTTCAAGTCCAGGCTGCTCCACTTCCGATCCAGATCTCTGCTGTGGCCTGGGAAGGCAGTGGAGGATGGCCCATGTGCTTGGGCCCCTGCACCCGTGAGGGAGACCCAGAGGAAGCTTCTGGCTCCTGGCTTCGGATCGGCGCAGCTCTGGCCGTTGCGGCTGGCTGGGGAGTGAGTGAGCCATCAAATGGGGGACCTCTCCTCTCTCTGTGTAACTCCGACTTTCAAATGAATAGTAGGTAAATCTTTAAAAAAATTAATTGTGGAATATAGGAAAATATATGAACTCAGGAAAACAAAAGAGAACAAAATCCAAGCTCAAGGCTTAGGGGACACCCAGTGTTAGAGGGTAGTGAAAGTTACTACTAGGAGAGTAGTGAAGTTACCTAAAGTGAGAAAGGTTTTTTTTTTTTGTTTGTTTGTTTTTAATAAGATTTTTTTTGTTTCAAGATCTTCCATCTTCCCATTCACTCCCTAAATGTTTATAGTAGCCAAGTCTGGACCAGGCTGAAACCAGAAGCTAGGAACTCCAGCCTGGTATCCCACATGGGTGGCAGGAACCCAAGCACTTGGATCTATAACTGCCTTCCCAGGTGCATTAACAGGGAGCTGGATTGGAAGTGGAACAGCCAGAGCGTGAACCTGCTCTCCAATATAAGATATCAGCATTTCAAGGGACGGCTTAACCCACTGTACCATAATACTAACTCTAAGAGAGACTTTTTTTTAAGGCAGTTAAAAGGATAAAAGTTATGTTAGGATAGTGTTGTTTCATAGACTAGAAGTGTTTGTAGTAGATCTTTAAAAGTTAATCCCAGCAATTTCTTATTGATACTTTCTCATGTATAAAGCATTGTGAGAGATGCAAAGATGACTAAAATGAGCCCCAGCCCCAGGGATTTTCAATCATTTAGAGTTTAGAGTTAGAAATTACTGTTTTTCTATAGTTCAAAAATGCTCACATAGTGGCAGTTTCATGTGGTACCACCTAATAGAAGAGACGAGACATAAACTTTTGTATGTAATTTATTCCTTAAAATGTTTGTAGAAGTTAGATGGTGAAATGTCTAACTACAGTTTTAGCTGGGTCCTATTATAAGTATTTATATGTAAAATTTTGAATCATATTCACATGTTGTATTTTCAGCATTTTGTACCTTATTTTTAATTTTCTTTTCTCTGCGATTGAACTCATACCTTGCCTGCTTAAGTTGAGTGAGGATCTGAAGATTCAACATGGCTCATGATTTATACCCATGTCTTATTAATACTGTGATGAGACCCTGCTTTTCAATGCAATATTGGCCACGGCATTTTCCGCTCATTTCTGTATTACAAAAGACAACCAACTAGTCAAATGTTTGCACAACACAAGCATTGCTGCACGGAGACAGCCATGCTGCTGAAGCAGGCCGTAACACTGGGCCAAGCTTCAAAGACCAACATTTTGGCTCAGGAAGGGCATTTCAGGCATGTCTGATTTGGTCAAGATGAAGGGCTGGCTCCTGTGAAAGGCCCCAGATATTAGTGGTTTAAGCAAGATAGAGGTTGATTTCTTTCTCATGTAATAGCCTGGGTGTTAACCATCCAGGGCTGTGTCAAGCTCTTTATGCCATCTCTAGAATGTTGTCTGTATGACCCAAAATGTTCGCTGCCACCATGTCCCCATTCCAGCCATTGGACAAACAACAGAGTGAGGGGCAAGTACACATTCTTTAAAGGAACAGTCTGCAAGTGGCACATAGATCTCTTCAGCTCTTATCCTGCTGTCCAAAATGTACTTACATGGTTACACTGAACTGCAGGGGAGGCTGGAAAATGTGGTTATTATTCTGGTTGATTAGAAAGCAGAGTTCTCATTAATGTAGAGGGGAAACCTAATGGGACACAACCAATAGCATCTGCCACATTATCCATGAGTGCATTTGTCTGCATGCCCATGACTACATATCCATACAAAGAGCCACACAGGTGCACCAAGATGCGAGATTTCTTCTGGTTGGGGAACTGGGCCAGGCTTTATGTAGATGAAGTTCAGTGATTGGGAAATGGAAAAGTAAAAGTTCCCATTCTAGGCTGGTGCCTCGGCTCACTAGGCTAATCCTCTGCCTGCGGCGCTGACACCCTGGGTTCTAGTCCCGGTTGGGGTGCCAGTCCTCTCCTGGTTGCTCCTCTTCCAGGCCAGCTCTCTGCTGTGGCCCAGGAGTGCAGTGGAGGATGGCCCAAGTACTTGGGCCCTGCACCCACATGGGAGACCAGGAGAAGCACCTGGCTCCTGTCTTTGGATCAGTGCAGAGCGCCGGCCGCGGCGGCCATTGTGGGATAAAAACGGCAAAGGAAGACCTTTCTCTCTGTCTCTCTCTCTCACTGTCCACTCTTCCTGTCCAAAGAAAAAAAAGTTCCCACTCTAGGTACTGGTCCTATAAGCTTAGTACACTAGAGACATTGTGGGGGTTACAGAAGGAGAGAATAAAAAGATATGGGAAGAATCCTTGGGTTCAGAGAGAACAGAGTAAAGACACAGAAGTGAGAAAAACAAGACTGGTGGATAACTTGACTGTTTTGCTGAAGAACAGGAATTATAAATGTGATAGTAAATAACCTGGAAGCATTGGTGGGAGCCAGAAGATTACAGAGGTTTATGGATGTCAAGTGACAGAGTTTGGGCTTTATTCTGAAAGCATGTTAGAGCCATTGAATATTTTTGATCAAGGAACATAATTATGACCATGCTTTGGAAAGGTAGCTATGGCAACAATGCATACTATCAGTTGGAGCAAGGAGGAGGGCCTGTTAAGAATGGATGGCAGTAAAGTGGTGAGGTTAATGTGGGTTGAAACTGAAGCTATGCCCTTGGAAATAGAAAAGATGGGGCCAAATGTAAAGGCGAGAATAAACTGAAGTCAAAGAAGCAGGGACAGAGAAAGGGCTCTTGGTGTCCTGGGTCCCTAGAGCCACAATTGTACTGTATTTTCATTCAGCTACTTAACTGTTGCCTCAATTTTGCTGACTCTAGGACTGGTCCTAGAATAGTTCATTCTCTGCCCAGAGCATCTCAGCGGGCACTCATCACCTCCCCCGGAGCTGTAGCAGCTGTTGGCCCAGCAATGCCACGAATTTGTCTCCCTGAGTTGCCAAGAGAGCAGCTGCCAGCAGCAGCTCTGGGCAGACACGTCTCAGGGACATTGACACTGTTCAACTTGGGATAGGGCAGGTTGGCCAAGGCCAAAGGCAGTCTACGTAAATTCATCCTGCTGTTTTCCAAACTAGTTTCTTACCCTGGCTGGATTTCAGCTGCTCATACTGGGCTAAGTTGGGTGTTTTGTTACAGCTTTAAGTGACTGCATCGAGGGACAATTGCTGCCGAGCTGCTTTGTTCATCTTCTCTTGGACAGCTTCTTTCTCTGGAAGCCATTACCTTGTCACTCTTTGGCTTTGCTTCCTATTCTGCTTTGCTCCTGCTCACCTTTTGTCCTCTCCCACACTGTGCTCAGTGCAAACATCCTCATTAAAGCCCACACAGCTCTGACTCCTTAGCAGTCTGACCTCAGGGTCCCATCCCTTTCCTGCGCTTTCTCCTCCTCCAGAGAAAGAGCGAGAGATGCCGCAGATAGAGCTGACGTGATTATTTGACTCTGTCATATTCTGCTGTGTTTAAAATGGTTAATATGGCTTCCTCTGTCCCTGTGACTTTTGGAGGACTCTGCTAATGTCAGCTTGGTTAAAGAGGGGAGATAAAATATTATATGAGGGTAGGAAGCCTCCCTGGGAAGATGTTCTTGCGTTTTCTTTGGCTCCTTGAAGAGTCTAAATGTATTCCTATTAGTTGCCTAGCCTTTGATTGTCTCTTTTAAGTGGAGTCTGTGTTAATATTGCCCAGCAGGGCTCTAATTGATAATCTGTCGGCTGTTTTTCTTCTACATAGACTTGCTGTGAATTACCTTTCAGTTGTAGCTCACTTGGTTTTGATCTCCTACTTTTAATAGCTCATTTCTTTGTTTTATTTTGAGGTAGCTTTTTATTTTCTGTTGAGTTTTCAGAGGGCTATTTCTACAGTGCTATCCTGCTGCGTTCTTTCTAGAGAACTTATGCTATTTTTTAACCCACAGTAAACATCTTTTCTTTCTTCCAGCTTTTTGTTCTCTCCTCAACAAATATGTGTGAAACTTTTAAAGGCATTGTTCTAAACTCTTAAAGGATAGAGTGCAAAGAAGTAAATGTTGTGGTTCTTTGCCACATGAATTTATTATCAAGGAAGGGAGAAATTAGAGCTGAGTATCAGAACCCAGATCTTTACTATACCACCATTTGAGGTAAGTATCAAATATGTGCTATACAGATGACACGCAATTGGTATGGAAGAAACCTTCAGTGAGGAGTGGAGTTTGAGCCAGACGGCAAGAAAATGGACGAGTTCTTGATAGAGAAGGGAAGGTGTTCTAGGCAGAATGGGCACAGCCGCAGGAAAGTGCAAAGCCTTTGAGGTACAGTGAATAGACTGGTTAGGCTGGGAGAACCAGTGTATGGAGGAATTAGGCAGAGATAGATAGGATCATAACGTGGAGGGCCTTGACTTTTGACTAAGAGATTGGACTCTGTGCAGTAGATACTGGAAACCCCTGAACATTTGAATAGCTTAATTTCCAAGCTTAGGTATGAATAATGCTTAAGGAAGATTAACCTGGTTGATGGTTTGCTAAATGACAAGAAACTTGAGAAGGGGAAACCAGTTGTTGCTGTAGATAATAAGGATCTAAATTGGGGTGGGATGATAGGAATGAAAAGAATAGGAATTTATCCTACTGTCCATTTAGCAAATATGTATTGTGCTCTGACCCTGTGCCAGACACATGCCAAGCAAGACAGATACTGCCCTCTGCACTCCTGGAGCTTACAGTCTAGAGACAGATGGAGAGCACCTGGTGTGTAGGAAGACTCCACAGGAATTGCTGACTGATGGGATTCAGGTTTCAAGTGAACTTGGAAGCACAAAAGAAGAGTTCCGTGGAAGTTTCTTTTGGACTTGGGTGACTAGTAAATTCATGGTGCCTTTAACAGAAATACAGAACTTAGGAGAAGGAGTTGTTTTTGAAGAACTAGAATATGAAAAATTTGGTTTTTGGACCTTAACGTTAAGGTACTGGAAGGATATTGAAGCTGAAATTTCCAGTAACCAACAGAAAATGAATGGCCATATGCAGGGCTAAAGATAGATCTGGGCTGCTAGTAGTGATATGGGCATATTTGTGGAATGGTGGTGGTTGAGGCTGTGGAGAAGTTTGTGATTTTCAACAGTAAGGGTTTACAGAGAAAAAAGGGGGAGATCTTCTTTATATGGTCTATGGTACTTAGATTGCAGGGTGATAAGGAGTTGAAAAGATGTTTGTGTATGCATTTCTGTAGTTACACATTTTTGGGATTTATATAGGCATATCAGACATTGAGCTGGGCATGGGATAGATAATAAATTAACAGTATATTCAGGAGGTACACATGGAGAGTCAATCTGCTTATTTGAATGTTTAGGAGTTATGTTACTATTGGAAGGAATCAGAGGGAGCAGGCCCGGGTAGCTCAAGAATCTGGTAGACATTCAACCTGCAATACTCCTTTCAGTGGGAGGTTAGGAACAAAATTAATTAAGGAGAAATTCTTGTACAGCCCATGTTCTTGGCCTTAGGCCTGGTTTTTGATGGTACACAGTCTCTCGGGTTATGTCACCTCTTGCTGATGGAGTCTTCCTTTGGAATTGAGTTCTAAGTTGTTCATCAGTTTCAACCGGAAAGCATTCAGTTGAAAAACACAGAGTCAATTGGCCATGGAGAATGTTATAGCTGAGCCTGCAAATCAGAAAAGGGTGGAGGACCAGAAAGTTCCTCTTTGAGTGTGGGATGACCTTGAGGAGGGAAGTAAGAAGCAGCATGAAGTTGCCAGAAGGGAGAACCCCTGACTTCCTGGGACCAGTGCGTCATTCATTCATTTCGGGCATAGTTGGGAGCTGTTTGTTCCCTTGAGGAAGGTTTTACCCAGATGTAGCATCTGGTGTTGAGCAAGGGTTGGCTTCCCTTCCCCATGGCTCAAGCTGCTTTTATTTATACTCTAACCCAAGGTCCCTTGTTGGTTTTCTGCTGGCCTAGTCCATACAG